CGCCCCACCCATCCCACCCCGGAGGAGTTGCCTTCCGCCTGCCTGCTTCTCCGCCCCATCCGCAGCAGCCCCAGACCCTGTGCTGCCCCCGCTGCCTGCCAAGCGGCATCTGGCAGAGTTCAACGTTCCACCTGTGCCCCCCCGCACTGGGACCCCCCGCCAGCTGGTGAGGTGAGTAGATGCCATCCCCGGTGGGAGGAACATGGGTGGAGGATCCCGGAAAGCGGAGAGGGAGTTTGTGGCCTTTGGCAGTAGGGTAAGAAAGGCACCTCGGTGGAGGGAACAGCATGTATAAAGCTCAGAGGGGGGAAGCACTATCCTGGGGCACTCTGAGCAGACTGGGACTAAACTGTTGGGTGAGTGTGGGTGAGGCTGTGGATGGCATTGGTGGGAGATTCTGTGAAGGCCGGTGGGAAGCCAGAAAGGTTTCAAGCGGAGTGATCGGATGAAAGCTGGATCGGATGGATGACTGGTGGAGGAGGAGGCTGGGTGACCATTGAGAGGGCTCAGGCCCCCAGGAGAGGCCCCCACTTGGGCTGTGCTAACAGGGTGGAGAGAGAAGTAGGCAGATGGAATGAGAAATTGGCCCTGGAATGGACGGGGCTTGGGAACGGCCTAGACATTAGCAGAGAGGGCATGGGGAGCCACATGGCATGCAGGTTTCCATCTTGGGTGGATAGTGGTGCCATCCCTGATCTGGGGATCCAGGGACAAAGTGTACCCAGGGAAGAAGTCTCGGGTTCAGTTTGGGGCTTGGGGAGTATGAGGCCCTGGGAGGTGGGAGTACCTTCCGAGTCAGGAGGTAGCATGTGGAGGACACAGTCTAGGATGATGAGCTGCTGTTGGGGGAGCAGAACTGGCCAGGGCCTGGTGCTGTGCTCCTGTCTCCCGCTCCACACTGCTCCTGCCACATGCCCCCACATCCTGGGGATACTTCTCAGGCCACAACCTGTTGGCCCTCCCTCCTCAGAATTTTTCCCCGTCTCCTGGCTCCTGGTACTTCTCGTTTCCTTGAATTGCCTCCCACTTCTATGGATGTTCCATTTTAACCTCCTTCACAGGTGCCCTCCCTGCCATTTGCTGGGGTACCCAGCTGGGAGGGAGCATCCCTAGCTAGTGCTGGATATATCTTTGGCGGGTGTAATGGAGATTACTGCAGTACTTGGGCCAAGTCAGCCTAATCTGGGAACACTTCTTGGAGGAGAAAGGGATGTGCAGAGAGAGGTCTCTTGGTCCCTATGTTGGGCACTGTGCTAGCTGCCTCATTTCCATGATCTTGTTGCTCAAACCTTCTGGGGGATTTTTGTCTTGTTTTCAAGCAGAGAAACTGAGGCTCAGAGAAGGGAGAGGAGCACTAGCTGGATCCATGCCAAGTGCATGCTCAGGGAGCCCCTGTGGGGAGTCTGGAAAGTTTTCACCACACAGAGAGGGAAATTAAGTAAGGGGGCCTTGAAGGCGTAGCCATGGCCGTCATGTTTTGAGGTTTGATTGGTGGAAGCACAAAAAGGGTTTGTACCTTTCCTGAATTCACACAACTGGGGACCATACTCGGGTCCCCTAGGAGCCTGGCTCACTGTTTAGATTGGGGTTTCCTGGCACTATTGTGCCCTCTGGTGGCCATTCTCATGCATGCATGAGCCGTTTTTATTTCTTTTAATTCCATTAACAGGATGGGGAGTGGTGGGGGGGAGAGAGAATATGTGTGTGTGTCTGTCTATTTCTGTTTGTCCATCTGTCTCTGGGGGTGGGAGAAGGTGAACAAGGACAGAAGACAGAGCCCTGTCCATTGGGAATTCTCAAGGTCTGAGGAGGCAAACCCCTCATTGAGGGAGTGGAGGCCTGGATTCCTGTTTTGGAGTCAGAATACCTAGGGGCAGGCCTAGCTAGCTGTGTGACTGATTAGCAGCTGCCCCTCTGGGCCTGTTTCTCCATCAGGTGCCCTCCTTGGCCTCCATAGCCCTCCTGGTACTAACATCTGCATTCAGGAGACTTGGCAGGATAGAGCAAGCGTCCTGTCTATGCCCCAGGGTACCAGCCTCCACCCTCAGAGCCTTAGTCTGAACTTAGTCACTTAGCCAACCTATGGGGGAGGCCAGGCTGCCATGCTCAGGAATCTGGCCCCTTGTTTTTGTTTTTGTTTTTTTCTTTTAATGTTTATTTGGTTTTTTTTAGAGAGAGACAGAGTGTGAGCAGGGGAGGGGCAGAGAGAGAGGGAGACACAGGATCTGAAGCAGGCTCCAGGCTCTGAGCCATCAGTACAGGGGGCTCTTTCTTAAAGTAGAGTGTGATGGGAGGTGAGCTGCCAAGCCTGGCTTCCTTGTCCTGGGGTCTTTGACATTTGGAACAGTCAGTCAACATCTGCAGGTCCTAGCACTCTGACTTCCAGGGTGTACAAAATCTTTAAAGCCAAGTGGTAGAAAAACTCACTGCAGATGGAACTTCATGTATGTGTAACAGGTGAAGGCTGGGCAGGGAGGAGACCAGGATGCAGCCTGATTGGCTATCCCTCACAGCCCCTCCCTATGGACCCTGGGCTCCACGGTGCACACTGGAAGGCTCTTCAACCTGGCCTGTTCCTGCCCCCTTTGCTGGAGTCCCTTCTTCCTGATATGGCCTTTGGGTCCTTACTTACACCCTTTAGTAACGGGGTTCTCACTCTCTGAATCTTAAGACCTTTTACACCGATTCACGTGGTGACTGAGCGAGCATTTCTGCCTGGCTCCAGGCCATCACCCACCTCCCCGGTGGAATTTGGGAACTATCTGCTGTGTGTGCATGTGTGTCCTCTTGAGATAGTGACTCCACGCGAGGGCATGCCTAGCCGGTTGGTATGCGTGCACCGATAGGTGTGCATGTTTGTGCAAGCTGTCAAGGTAGTCACGTGTCTGTGTATTTATGTGTCTGCACACGTTTTAAGGGAGGCCACTTGTGATGCTAAGATGTACATGCGAGTGGGCATTTATATGATTTCCGTGGTTTCTTGCGGTGGGTGTGTGTGAGTTCATCCGGGCCCGTGTGCACACGTACCTGTGCCCGTGTGTGCTGGCACAGTGGGGACGCCAACAGCATGAGTCCATTTGTGAGTGCACGTGCTGTGTGTTCTTTGCGTAGCGCCAGGGGTGAGCCAATGTGTGTACACATGCTGCAAAGCCCACCAGGGTCAGCTCTGTTAGGGCCAAGATTCTTGTTGATTTTGTTTAGTGCTGAATCCCTAACACCTGGGACAGTGCCAAGTGCCTAATAGACACTCCAAAAGTATTTGTTGTGTGCGTGAATCGATGACGACTGTATGCGTTTCTGCACTGCCCAGTGCTGAGCACGTGTGCTACCCATGCTGACCCAGCACCCAAAGAGTGCCCTCAGCACACACCGGACAGTAGACCATAGGGTTAAAGGGCCCTGCGCTCACACCCCAAATCCCTTCCTACTATGCAACCTGTGTCATGCCCGGACATCTTAGAAAGGCAGAGGCCTTCGAGGAGGCAGGCAGAAAATGAGCCGACCCAACTGGGTCAGGATTCTCAGAACCAGGCTCACCGTTCTGCCTGGCCTGGGAGGACCCCACCTCACCCCTCACAGGGTCCGCACCCCCACCATTGTTTAAGCTTGTAATAGGGAACTTGCCGATGAGTCCGGAGATGATGAGAAACGCCCAGAGTCACATGGCCCAGCAGAGTGGAAGCCAATGGTCAGACCCTGCCTCCTGGGCCGGGGCCCAGTCTACTCAGCTTCAAGTATCATAAATGTGGACCCTCTGAGCCTGCTTCCGAGTGGCAGAGGGGTCATTTCTGGGCCAGGTGTTCCAGGGTCATTCCACAGAGCCCCTCTCAGATTGCTCTGGGCCTCAGTTTCCTCCTCCAATACCTAGATGTCTGGAGATACCTTCAAAGAGGAAGTATTTGTCCAGAGGGGGCAGCTGCCAGCTGGAATCACACTGCAAGGCCTCCCACCTGTGCCCTTAACTGCCCTGCAGCCCATCCAATCCCTGGTCTTCCTGAAGGCTGATCACTTGTTGCTGGGGCAGAACTTGCTCCCTTCAAAGAGCCTCTTTCCCAGCCTCTCTGGGCCTCCTTGTGGGAGTGGGGAAGGAGCAGCCAAGTCCAGAGCTTCCTGAGTGTCTACTCTGTAAGGCCCTGCTTGCCAGCACTGGGGTGGTTTGTCCCATTCCAACTTGGGATGGGGGGGCAGGCTGGAGGCGGGGAGGAAGTGTCTGCCCCAGGGGATTCTGGGTGACTTTTCTCTTTCTCAGTGTTTTCAGGAAGTGTGTATTGGCCGGGGCTGCAGGGGGTGGGGGAGGAGGAGAGCAGGAAGCCACGGGAGACTAGAGCTAGATGTACACACACACACACACACACACACACACACTCACTCCCAGACAGATCCAGTTTTACTCAGAAACACTCTCAGATAAGTAAGTGATCACAGCCACTCAGAGCCGTACCTGGACCCAGACACGGCCTCAGACACACCCAGGGAACAGGGGCCTGGCTGTCTGCTAGACCAGCCCTGGTCAGACGAGCTGCCTGGTCAGGCACACAGCACTCTCTCGAGCCGGAGCTGTGGGAGTCCTCTGGCCCAGGACCCAGTGGACATCTGAGGGTGAGAAAGGGGAAGCTTTGGGCTGGGCTGTTGGCGGGAGTGGTGGGGAGAGGCTCCTTCAGAGGGTCTGGGAAGGCAGGAATCCCTGTCTGTCTGTCTGTCACCTCTGGACAGAGTTTTCTGTGGTACTCCTGCCCCCCTCCCTTTTTTGCTGTCAGAATTTTCTCTCTTCTTTCACTTTCTCCACATCTTCTGTTTTTCTCTTGCCCTCTCTTTTTTTCCCCTTCTCTTTTCCTTCTCTCTGCCCTGGGCTTTTCAGGCCTCTCGTCTTCCCATAAGCCTGTCTCCTGGGCCCACTGGGAGCCCATGGTACCTGAGAGACTGCCCGTCTGTGGGTGTCTACCCTTCAGGGACCTGGTGCTGGTCTCCTCAGTTCTGGCTTCTTTCAGTGTCAAGTTCAAGGGTATTGTGGCTCTGGGAAGCTCCTACCTGAACCCCTTTGCCCTCCCACTGAGTTCAGGATAATAGGGAGACCAACTGAAGGCTAGCACTTAGTTGGTGTGGTTCCTACCCCTCTTCCCCAGGGCAAGCAGTGTGGTGGGTGCCTATGTTGTTGGGGGCTGGGCTGACCTCTCCCCCCAGTTGCTGTGGACCCCTAATGAACTCAACAACCCTGTGCTTAGATCAGTGGGGACATAGAGATGCCTCTAACCAGGTCCTGTCTGTGCACCCAGCCTGCCCTATGCCCTTGGCTCATCTTTCCACAGTGTTCAGCAGACCCCTACCTACACCTTCTCCTCCTGCTAAGGACAGCCCTGGGCGGGACAATCAGGATGGGGGGATGAGCTCAACACAGTCATGAGCTCCCTCAGGGATAAACCTCCTCACCCTGCTGCCCTTAGTAAACAGTACAGGGCCAGACCTGGGAAGCATGATTAGCTGCCACAGGAGGACCGGGCCTCTGTCTCCTCCTGCCCACTACAGCACGGCTTGCCTGCGGGAAAGCTCAGTGTAGGCCTGGTGGTAGGCATTCCATGAAGGACCCAACAGGCTGTGTGAGCTTAGAGGAGGGAGCAGTTGAGTAGACCTCCTGGAGGCATGTCCTGGGTACAGTGGAGCTGATGATCTGGATCATTGTGGGGATTAAATGCAAAGCCTCCCAGAAGAGTGCTTAGTACATACTGGGTACTTAGTAAGTGGTAGCTGTTGTTCCAGGAAAAAGTGCTAAGAGCTGAATGAAGCCTTGGTTGCGAGGGTGGATGCCAGGTTAATTGGGTGCTGCTCTATGGAGGGGTAGGGGAGCTTCTGACCTTCTCTAGTGATCAGGAAGTGAGTGGGGTGGTGGTCATTCAGTCATCAATACATACCCTCTGAAAACCCCCTGTGTTGAGTGGTGTCATGATGTGGAGGGAGATTGGCCTGCCTGAGAGGGCTCACAGCATGTGCAGAGGCTGAGAGGCATTGTGCAGACACTAACCAAGTGAAAGCCCAGCAAGGGCTCTCCATGCTGTGATCTGGGCAGAAGTAAGAGAACAGAAGCAGGGGAATGCTGGAGGGGTTGACCTTTGGGTCTCATAATGGAGAAGGAAGGACAGGGGCAGCCACCGAGGAAGCAAGAAGCACAGGACTGAGGCCTGAGCCCTCATAGCCAGGGCACAAATGAGGAAGCGGGCAGCTGGGAAGTTTTGCCCCCATGGGGAGGGGAGTCAGGGTAAGAGATGGATGTGTTCAGGTCATTGGGCCTCATCCCACGTCTCAGTCCTGCTGGCGAGAGTCCAGGGATTGAGATTGGGCTAGGTCCCTCCAAGGCCTGTGCGACACTTTAGGGGGAAGGTCTTGAATCCAAGACAGGGTGTAGGCCTGGGTCCTTGGTCCTCTGAGGTCAGTTCAGTGAAATGAATATTGATAGACACAGCTATACTGAGTGGAAGTATGGAGGGTGGAGGAGCCCCAAAGAGGCCCAGCCCAGCCTGGAGCATGAGAGGAGGCACAAAGTGGAGGGGGAGGATGTACAATTTGGACAGGGAAGGGTGTTCCAGGTGGAAGGAACAACATATGCAAAGGCCTGGAAGTATGCATTTATGGATATGCTCAGGTAAGCATGGCTGAAATGTGAGCAGGGGATGAGTTCAAGGCCAGCCTGAGATATGTAGTGTGCCTCACTCTGTTGGTCCATCTGCCCTTATGGTGAAGCCTGGTTCCTTTGGCCAGAGATTGATGTAGACAGAAAGATATGAAGGGAGAGCCAGGGGCCACCCTAGGGGAGGAGGCCATGAAGCAGGTTCCTGGCCCAGCCTGTGCTGTCTGAGCCTCTTTCATCACAGCCAGGGTGAAAAAGTTGTGCTGATGACCCGTGGTCATGACTCTTCTTACTGAATTGTCAGTAAGCCTGGAAGCAGATCAGAGAGGAAACTGAGGATCAGAGCTATAGTGAGCTGCTTTGTGAAGTCAGAAACTGATGTGTAGTCAAGCTGGGATTTGAGTGTGTTCAGCCTGGCTCCAAAGCTCTGCCTCCTTTTTTTTTCTTTTTAATGTTTTCATTTTTGAGAGGGGGAGGGGCAGAGAGAGAGGGAGATAGAATCTGAAGGAGGCTCTAGGCTCTGAACTGACAGCACAGAGCCCGACGTGGGGCTCGAACTCATGGACCATGAGATCATGACCCGAGCTGAAGTCAGATACTCAACCGACTGAGCCACCCAGGCACCCTCCAAAGCTCTGCGTCTTAGCTAGACATACCACACATCTCATTTTGCCTGGGACAGGCCCTGTTTATACCTGTTGTTCTGACATAGTTACCTCTTTTAACTATCAGTGCCTCTTTTAACTGTCAGAAGTGTTCTGGTTTATACGATTAATTATGTGGTTACCCTACTCTTACCCATTCTGACATGGGACCCTCACATGTCCCCTAACCCCCAGGTTTAAGGTCAGCTGTGTGTATTTGCCCCAATCCAATAAAACAAACCTCAGGCTGTGATCCCATCCTGGGGTGGATCAGCCTCTGCCCCGTCCAGGAGTTGCCTGGTCTTGCTATGGGCATAGTGAGTAGAGCAGATGTGTCCATATGTCACTTGGATAGAGGAAAAAGGGACTGAAGGAGCAGGGAAGCCAGGGCTGGGGGGCAGGTGGAGGCCCCCTAGAGGACAGGCCCATTGAGCTGTACTCTTAGGTACACACAGGCTTTCCATGGGCTGAGATGATAGAGGGTAGTGTGGAGAAAGCAAGCAGTGTAAGCAAAGGTTTGTGGGGGGGGGCACTGAGCATGTGCTCATGTTTGGGGCTCAGGGTTGGGGCCAGTCTTCTGATCTGTTGGATCAGAGGTCAATAGGAAACATCCCAGCTGGACCTCAGCTGTAGATTGGAGCTGAGGCCGCTCTTAGGGTTATAGGCACTGACGTCCAGGACTCCAACTGGGGTGGGGGCACTTTGTGGGCACTATCCTTTCCTCTGGGGTTTTCCCACATGCTGTGCCTTCCGGATACCACTTCTCCATTCCTGGCCTGGCCCTGACTCAGCATGGCCCCGTCCCCTGTGGTAGGCAGGCAGAGGTCAGCCAGGAAGGTTCCTGGAAGAGGATGATAGAATGAGGCCTGGAGGTCCATGGAAGGGGGGGTGGGGTCCCCTTGCTCCCACTTGCTTGGCACATAGCCATTTTCCTACAAAGACTGTGCTAGGAGAAGAGCCCTTTGCACTGTTCCCCTCTCCCTTCTTGCCATGGTCACAATGACTGTCAGAGTTGTGATCACATTTCCTCTTGGATGGCAGCTCCAGAGCTGCCTAGATGCTGAGTTGGGGTGGCCAGTGTAAGGAGGCGAGCCTCAGAGAAGCTCTCAGATCCTGGCTGTGACCTCATTCGACACCGTGGTTGAGTTTGCAGGCTGTGGTGCCAGACTGCCTGGGTGCAAATCCCAGCTGTGGGATCCAGGACAAGTTAACTTTGTGTCTCTGTGCCTCAGTTTCCTCATCTGTAAATTTGGGATAACAGTAAGCCATACTTTATAGAGCCCTTGTGATGAGTAAATGAAGACAACAGAGAATAATGCACGCACAGGAAACTAATAAGAATTAATGAACCCAGGTCTTCATTTATTTATTAATCCCTGCTGAATGCTGGGCACGCCATAGTGAAGAAGGTAGGTGTGGCACCTGCCTCAGGGAACTCACATGCTTCAGATGGGCGGGTCCCTCGCAGATGATCAGGACGGTGATGGGGGGGCACCTGGGGTCCAGGGATGGGAGGGCCATTGCTTCTTCAGCTCTGAGGATGCTCTGTTGCCACCTTCCCCTCAGTGCTGGCTCTCAGTCCTGGGGAGGGTGTCAGTCCAGGGAACCACTCAGCCCTTCTTGGCATTGGAGGGGCAGAGCCTGACCCCACTTCCCCGGGGCCAGCCTGACTGGCACTGACCTGACAGCTTGGGGTTTTACTTTCAGCTCATCGCAGGCCAGGCCCCCAAGCGCCCCTTCTTCCTGGAGTCTGGCAGGCTGGGTGCGATAGATTGCTTTGCCTGTCAGGAAGCCTCCGAGGACATTGCACCTGACCAGCTGGGGGTCATGTCCTTGGACCTGTGGGTACTTACTCAGTCTCTAGGTCTTCATTCACCCTTTCATTTGCTTTTCTCACAACTGTAATGGCAACCTATCCACTTACCTATCTGTCACCACCCACCTGTCCATTCAGCCATTTACTTGTCTTGTCATCCATCCACCTGCTCATGTGTCCACTCACCCACCCACCCAACCAACATGCTCTTGTTGTTGACTCAGCCAGTTCCTGCACTGGGCTGTGGAGATAAAGAATCAAGTCTGATGCTGCCCCTGGCCTGAAGACACTCAGGGTCAAGTAGGGGAGACAATCTAGTGCAGTGTTCACCAGGGGGTCTTCTTAGGCCTTCTTAGGCCCCCCTAAACATTCAGGCTCTCATGAGCACCACTTGGCATCAGATTTCCTGAGAAGCATTTAAGATGAAACAGCTGGCCACCAGGGTAGTGGTGGGCCTTCCTCTGCTGTGGGGTCCTTGTGGCAGTCAGTTCACACAGCTGTCCAGGAGCCATTCTCTGTGGCCCCCCAGGAGAGGTGGGGGACTGAGACGACAGGTAGGTGTGAGAGCCATCCTGGCTTAGAAACCTCTTGATTCAATAGTCCAGTATTCCATCTAACGACCCCAGAGGTGTGGTTTCGGGTTCCTACATGGGTTGTGCCAGTGACAAGCCACCACGTTCAGGGAAGCCCAAAGCTCCAGCTCCTCCACTGGAGGAGTTGAGAGCCACTTACAATTTCTCCCCGTCTAGGTGCAGTGCCTCGCTCAGGCCACTTTTGTCCAAGGCAACGTTGCCAAGGAACGTGGCTGACATACCACCTTCAGCAGGTTTCTAGGGGAGCAGTGTGAGAAAGCGAGCCAAAGGTCAGATTCTCTCAAAGAAAGGGAAGGAGTTCACTCCTTCTTTACCTACATGTGGGGAGGAGACCATTAGACTACAGGGTAATATGGAAACAGCCATGTATCTTAGGAGGCCCATAGACTGCGGAGTCAGGGTTCGGGTCCTGGCATAGTATAAATGCCTGGCACAAAGGAGGAAGATACTTTAAAAAATGTTATTTGGAATCATTTGTCTGAAGCTTGTCACAGAGGGGGAGATGGGCAGGGTCTGGGGGAGTGTGGAAGAGGGGTCAGGAAAGGCATTCAGAGAAGCAGAACTTGAGTTTGGAGATAAAGGATGAATGGATGTTCTCTGGTCAGAGACCAAGGGGAAGGGATTCCTGGAGGAGGCAACAGCAGGAACAAAGGCCTGGCATCATGGTCACGCCCCAGCTCTTGCTTGCTTTTGTGATAAACGCACATTGCCAATCACTGCCAGGAATGTTGGGGCAGTAACCAGGCTGAAAATAACCAGTGAGACAATTGCCCACCCACTCTGATGTTCCTCCTTGGCCCCTGCCAGACACTGGCAGAGAGAGTGGGTGGGGCCAGGCCTCTAGGGCTATGTCCCTTGTTCCAGCTGTGGGGGCACAAAACACACCTTGTCTTGGTTAATTCTCCAAACACCCTGCCAGGTCGGTGATATAGTCCCCCCTCTACAGAAGAAGAAACTGAGTCTCAGAGGGGCTAGGTGCTTGCCCTTGGACACACAGGAACTAAGACTGAGTCAAGGTTCAAACTCACATCTGATGCCAAAGTCAGGAGACACTCGGGAGATACTTAGCCTGTAGGGAACAGTGTGATCTGTGCTGAGACGGATACACAGAGCACTGAGGCTGTGGGAGCTCAGGGGACCCTGAACCCGGCCTTGGAGTTGGGGAAGGGTTTCAGGGGGAGTGATAGCAGAGATGAGGAGCTGGTGTGCAAGAGGAGTGCGGTAAGGACATAACAAGAGATGGCAGGGATGTGTAGAAGAAGGAACCCTCGTGCACTGTTGGTGGAAAGGCAAATTGGTGGAGCCACTGTGGGAAACAGTAAAGAGGTTCCTCAAAAAATGAAAAATAGAACTACTATATAATCCAGTAACTCCACTATTGGGTGTTTACCCACAGGAAATGAAAAGACTAATTCAAAAAGTGTATGCAGCCCGATGTTTATTGTAGCATTATTTACAATAGCCAAGATACAGAAGCAACCTCAGTGTCCATTGATAGGTGAATGGGTAAAGAAGAGGTGGTCTATATATACAATGGAACATTACTCTGCCATAAAGAGAATGAGATTGTGCGCCACGTGCAACAACGTGGATGGACCTAGAGGCTACACTGCTAAGTGAGGCAAGTCAGTCAGAGAAAGACAAATACCATATGATTTCACTCATACGGAATTTAAGAAACAAATAACAAAAAAAGGAGACAAAAAACCCAGATGCTTAAATCTGAAGACTCAAACTGTGATGTTACCAGAGGGGGGGAAATGGGTGAAGGGGATCAGGAGTGATCACCTGTGATGAGCACTGAGTACTGTATAGGATTGTTGAATCACTGTATCGTACACCTGAAACTAATATGACACTTTGTGTTAACTATATTGGAATTAAGTCTGGTGGGATCAGGTGAATTTGAGGGGTCTGAGGCACGCAGGAGGTGGACACGTTTGCATCCATGTCTGGGGCAAGGGAGAAGGTAGTCTTGAGCCAGGGACCCCTAAGACTCAGGGCCTTACGACTTGGTTTCTGAGGCTCTGGTCTCTGCCCTTGGCTTAGATGTCCATTTTGATCCTGAACCCATCCACTCACCAACACATTCCTTCTTATCCTTAAAAGCTCAAGTCAAGCATCACTTCCTCCAGTCTTCCCTGACTCCATAGGCTAGGATGCAGCCCACTCTGGACTGCTAGATTGGAGACGCTGTGGGTACATGTGGCTAAAAGCTAGAGCTTTGGGGATAGGTGACCCGATCACAGCAATGCAGGGGCAACTTATACATGCCAAAGAAGGTGCCTGCCTCCTTTAGGCTTGGGGAGCTTGGAGGTGTGGGGGCAGGGGAGTGAGGTGAGGAGGGCTCCCGTCTGAGTTTGTGGAATGAATGAGCTTTGCTACAGCCCAGGTGAGCTGGGAGTTCAGTGGGTTTCAGGCCTGGCTCTGTCACATAGTGATGCCAGCCCAGTGACTCCCCTACCTGGAGCTAACCCCTGGTGCCGAACTTTTGGTCTGTTCCCAGCCTTCCCTCCAGGGAGGAGGAGTTACTGTCATTACCACCATCATCGCCTCCCCAGCCAGCGCCTGAGGAGCCCCCGGCCACCTTCCCCCGAGT